CCGACCGGAAGGTTAAGTGTTTGACTCGCGGCGCCTGCAGTCCACACTTCGGCGTGTCCTTGGGCGAGACGCTGAACCCCAAGTTGGCCCCGGTGGCCAGAGCAGGGACAGCGCCGCCATCAGTGTGAGATGGCGGCGGACAGCTACCCTCGGCTCTCTGTGTGTATAACGTACTCCGTAAAGTGACCATCAGTATGTTCATGCTGTTTTATTTCCTTTACATCACAGATGGCTGCCTCGGTTCTGTACCGGGAACAAACGTCTTGTGTGTAACATACTTGGCCAAATAAAGGTGATTATTATTAGTTTGTTCACTCTGCTGAGGAATGAAGTTCGTGTGAGCAGTTTTTGGAGATCCACCATATTGTAGTGAAGCAACAACTAGTTAGTTTAAATTAGTCACAAATGAGGTTTTCTGTTTTGTGTCCAGACCCTGAGCTGATGCTCTGATCCACAGAAACCTTGAACGACCTCAGGAGCACAAGAAGAGTTTGTCAATTATCACATTTCTAGGAGAGCAGAGGTGAAAGGTCAGAGGTCACAGTGGCTGTGAACACTGAAGTTGAAGGCAGAAGGAAGAACAGGAGAGGCATGTCCTAATTAAATAAAAGCTGAGCTGGCTGAGTCTCCAAACATGGACCTTTCCTTTCCCTGCTAATACTGAGCTGTTGCAGCAAAGCTTTGGGGTCACCTCCACTTCTCCTGTTGTTATTAGTGTGACTGGTGTAATCCAGCAGCCAAACACACTTGTGTGTCACATGTAATGAACGCTGTTGCAGTTGTGTTGCACCTGTAGGTTGTTTTGCTTTTAGTCTGTGCACTGTGCCGCCGTTCATCGTGTGAAGCCGGCCGTCTTGTTGTTTCCTTCTCCACAGCCTGGAGGTGTTTGTGGATCATTCCCCTGCTATAGGATGAAACCCTGAAAACCTCTGGCTCCCTGTGTTAATGGCTGTTTTCCAGATAATGCTTCAGAGGCTGTAGTAACAGTCTTTTCCAACACTGCCTTTGCTGTAAGTCAACAACCTGTAGCAATTGGTTGTTCACACTTCTGTGGAAAGATCAGATCTCAGTTACTTGGAGGGAAACAGCTGTGATGCGAACGTATCTTAAATTTCGTGGCTTGTCACTGTTGTTTTTTCCTAAATTTGCATTAACTTAGAATGTTTTATTAATGTTTAGCAGGTTTTCTCCCATATAAAATCAACAGGGGCAGACACGTGACCCACACTGCACCGTGTTCAGTTGGTCTTCAGCTTCAGAGAGGCAGACGGTCTCTTTGCCATTACCCACGTCGTTTACATCCTCAGCTCCTGGTTGTGCTGCTGGTTTCTCCTGTTGGCCCTGTTCTGCCCGGGCGTGTGTTTCCCCTTCAGCTCCTGGTGCCTCAGTAGAGTTCACAAAGTAGAATCTTTCTCAACCTTTCAATGGTCACGCTGCTGGGTGAGGTGTTGAGTAGTGGTGGGTGGTGCCGACATGTTTGTCCACATAAGACTTCACAGTGGCTTTGTCTCAGTGTGGACATGGTGTCAGTCGCACCCAAGCAGCCGGTCCTCCTTCCGTCACTCCCTCCATCTATTCCTCATTCTCCCTCAGACGCAGTTTCCGCCTCTCTTCCTGTCTTTTTCTCTTCCTTCTCTCGCTCTCTGTCCTCAGGCCTGTGTATCTCAGTCCATCCGTGCATGGAGATTGACTGGAGGCATGAATACATCACAGCTAGCCATCCATGCATCCCCCCACCTCCACCCTTCTCCCCTCCACCCTCCCACTTCTCCAAGATCCCTCTCTCAGCACTTATCTCAAAGTTCGGATCTCATGCATTTTAATCGGCGTGTCTATCTCCCATTCCCCCCTCTCCCTCTTTCCTTTGACTTTGGATCAGTGGCATCCTTCAAACAAACAACAACAACAACACAGCCCCCCTCTCCTCCTCCCCACCAGTTCCTTTTCCCCTTTTTAAATCAATATTTGCCATCAGCGGATAAATCGTATAATTTCCTGACTGTTAGATGAGTGTGACGGCGACATATTTACCTTCCACTCGTCTCCTTTTTGCTGTCGATCCTTCGTTCTCACGGCGTGGCTATTAGCTAAGTGAAGGGGATGGATGGCCGTGAAGCGCCAAGCGATAGCATCTCCATCAGAATCGGCGACGTTGAAAAATGGCCGCCGCCCCTCTGATGACAGCACAGCAAAAATACGTACACACACACACATATGCAGGCACATCTTCACACACACAGTCAAAGAAGAGACATTTAAATATTCAAATGGGGCTGGGCTGTAATGATAAACGACAAGGGAAAAGTAGAATCAAGTAGCTATCGATGCAGAAAATGAAAAGAGGAGGAAGAGAAAAGAGAGGAGGAGGAGGGAAATTAAGCAAAAAAGATGGAAGCATAGAAGCAGAGTTACACTAACAGCTGAAAAGAGGGAAGAGAGAGAGGAGACTGATGAACGTGATGCAGGAAAAGATGGACAAATTAAGCAAACACGAGGAGGGCTGAGGGAGCATGACAGTACAGAAAATAAAGATGGAGAAGAGTTGAGGCACAAACGATAAAATGAATAGACAAGGACAAAAGGAGAAACAGCAACAAAACATGAAGTGATTCACAAAATAAAAAAGAGATGGAGAAAGACGGTGGAGAGAGAAGGACAGAAACTGAAAGGCTGAGCTGAACTGTTGTAAAGAGGAAGGACAGGAGGAAAAGAACTGTGTCTCAGGGAGGAAAGGGAAGGGTTGAACAGGAAACAGCAACAGATGAAAGGATGAGGAAAGAAACGAACCAGAGACGACAAAGGCAGCAGAGAAATATTGCACAACAACTGGGAAGAGGGACAGACTGAAGGCAGGGAAGACACAAAAATGAAAAACAGTTTGAATGCAGAATTTATTTCTGTAGGTCGAGGAGATTGGGGCAGAGCATCCATGTTCTTTTAAATTAATAAAACAGAAACACTACATTAAAACAAAATACAAGTTACAACAGAACACTGGTTCAGCTCCTTGTTGGGCTTACGTAGTTGGTAAAGCGTAGTTTGTCTTTATATGTGTGCTGTGAGAATGTGCCTCTTCATCCTGGTTAATATCACACTGTAAAACATAAAATAGTACATTTAAAGCAGCTAAAGATGTTTAACACTCCCCGTGTGGATCTGCTGTCATGGCCCTGCTCCAGACATCTCTGGTTTGTTTCAGTGGTTCCAAAAGGAGAAGCGACTGGTCGGACCTTTGTAGGTAGCTGGAACACAGAAATGAGCACAGATCAGAGTGACGCAGCTGTTCAGGTTGTTGCAAGTTTACTTACAGAGTCAGCAAGTTCCGTTTCGTCAGCATGTTTCTTCAGTTGTCCTGAAAATCATTAACCTTTTGCAGAGCAGCTGCTACAGCTTCTGTCAGCTCAAAATCAGCCCACACTCCAGCAGATATCCCCTAACATAAACACGATGGGAAGCAAAGTGTCAGTTCAGACTCATTATCAAACTGCTGCTTCTTGTGAAGCCTTGGTCAGTTAGCGAAGAAACAAGGCAAACCTGAAACCAGGCAGTTGACACTTTTAATTATGGCCAGGAGTCCAAAAGCTAAAGTTTGTCTGTATGCAGTAAATGGTGATATTCCAGGAGGGAGCTCCATGTAGCAAGCTGCACCTAAAACATGATATTAAATGTAAAGGGGTCTCTGCACATTTGCCTAAACAGTAGCCTTTGATTCAGAAATAGAAAACTGTTCTGCAGCTCCTTCGCATCCCGAACACAGCGCTCAGACAGCGTAAACCAGAAGGGAGGAAAATATTCAGCAACACTTGGTGCTACATATGGAGCTTTATTCTTTAAGCATCTCTCCATAAAGGACCCTGCCGTGGAGTGCCGCTGTGTTTGATTCCTGCACGTCTGTGGAGCTTCAGAGGTGCGACAGTTTCACCTTTAATGTGGTCAAAGCAGGTGAAGCAGTGAGTGAAAACTCCTGCGACTGCCTCGAACATTTCATCATGAGATGTGCTGCAAACAACAACAATAAAGTGATCTGCTCCTGTTTGGAAGACCAGTCAAAGGAACGCTCCAATGAAAATCTATCTTTTGAGTCAACTACTCCACACTTCCTCCTCTGTGGAGGACGGCAGCTGTTACAGTGGGGATCCAGAGTCAAGTTGAAAAATCCAAATGTATCAGAACATCTGTGGAAACTTAAACTCCACCATGTAGATCACAAAATATGCACAGACGCTCTTGTCTGCTTTGTCAGATCCGTTTGGAGGAAACATCATTACTGCCTGGATTATGTTCCCCAGCAGCAGTTCATCCAGTCCAGGATGTATGTACAAAGCACACGACTGATACTGAGTGTCATTTAAACCAGCGGCACTGGGAGACTTTAAATACTGTGCTCAACGTGGAACGTGCAGCAGACCTTTGCCTTTTACTCGATAGTTAGCTACTTAATCAGCAGGCACACTGAGCATTAGCTTTTTTTTACAAATCATGCGTCTCAGATTTGTCCACAGTCAGTGAAAGGGTAAAATCGGTTCCGTCGGCCACCTTGTGCAGCATGAACGCTGGTTGAGATCAGTCTCCGTGTCTTTGGGTCTGTCTGTCCCCCCATTCTCTGTCAGCTCTGTACTGTACCTAATAAAAGCAGATGAATGGTCCATGAAGGAAGGAAAGTGGAACTGCATTTGTTGAAGAACACACTGCTCTGCCCCCAGCGTGCATTAAATGTTTGTAAAGCAGGTATTTCTGGTTGTGACTGTGTATGTGGTCTGTCAGTGGAGGACAGGAGGCCAATAATCCTGTGAGCCAGTCAGTGTGGGTGTGTTAACAGGTGTGTAAACCTCAAACAGCCTGTTTTCATAGAGGCTGGGGTGGTGCTCTGACAGAATGTCACCAGAGAGCCTCATAGACGTACAGCTGTCAAACCAGTTGTCTCAAAAAGCATTAAAGGACCCCCCTGTGAGTCGAGGCGCACGCATGTGACGACTGTCTGTCCTGTCGTCTGTCTCCAGAGCAGCCACGCCGAGCTGATGATGATGGAGAGCAGGAAGGCCGGCCTGCTGGGCCGAGCCGAGTCTCTGAAGAGGAGCGGCGTTGAACTACCCAGCAACTTCCACCACAGGATGCACAACCTGACACACACATGGAGACAGCTGGAGGTAACGCACACACAACACACAGCATACACAGCACAAGTTTTAGAAATACAGGAGTGTAACAGCGGCACCTTGGAAACAGGCCAAACACAGAGGTAGATATTTCTGTTGAGACGGGAGTGTGTGTGTGTGTGTCTAATTTTAGGCTAATCAGCACTGATCTAATCTAGAACATGAAGATGATAATTAGTATCGTCTCAATTAAGGAGCTCTGCTGCCACCGTGGCCTTTAACTGTGTGGTGGAATGTCTGAGGCTTCAGCAGAGAGAGAGATAAAGTGGGTGGCTGGATGAATAGACACTCGACGTTTGACAGAACTTCATATCTCTGGTCTTTATCAGCAGATGGCGTTTGCCAGTTGTTATGGAGGCTGGAGATGATTCGGTTTTATTTTTTACCCAAAGTCGAGGGTCAGAGGTTATTCTTGGCCTCGGAAACAACAGCAAATTGTTGTCCAAATCTGATTTTATCATCCTAAAAACCACCCTGTGCCTTGCTTAAGGGCACTTTAACTGGAGTAAATGGTGAAAATCTGAGAAAGTTGATGTCATGGTGGATAAATTGACAGGATTAGTTTTTGCTTAGAGCTTTAAGGCTGGATTTAAATGGGTCTGACCAGATACTGTACTAGAGCCTGACCGATAAATCTGTTGGTAAACCAGTATAAATCTGCCAGGAAACCAGTACACTGGCCAGTATTAGTTAATCATGGACACAGTATACACGTTTTGTCTACCAGAGACTGACCAGTCTGTGTGTTTCTGTCCAGGTGCCCCCCACCTGTCGCCCAGTCTCAGATAATCTGATCATATTTTGAACTGATGACTCAGATAAAAGCTTCAACTGTCAGTCACTTAACACTATTTAAGAGAAAATGAACTTTTACTACCTGAAAACTCCTGCTCTCCCTCCATCCCTTATAAAGTATTGGCTGCCTTGCTGGTGGGCACAGTGGCGGCAGTTGTCTGTACCCGGGCGTGGCGATTAATTCCAGGTCTGTGGTGGGGTGACAGCTGGCGGCGGCTCATCAGGTGGTTGAAATGTGACGATGTGACTTTGTTCCTCTGAAGAAACAAAGTCCCCTCTCCTGTCGACAGAGCGGCACGTCGACGCATCCGCCTCGTTCCCACAAACAGATACTGTAGCAGCGGAGGAGCAAAAAACATCTGTGTGTGTGTGTGTGTGTGTGTGTGTGTGTCATCTCCTTGTAGTCCCTAATGATGCACACACACATTATCATCCCACATAGAAATTCAAAGTCGCTGGAAGTGTGTATGTGCGTGCATTAACATATGTATCAACCGCGGCGAAACAGATTCCATTTTATAAATTAAACAGCAGCAGATGAGTCTTTCTCTGCGTCTGCGTGTGTGTTTCCGCCACAGTAACCAGACTGTGATTAAACTTCTATTACCGACAAAGAGACATTTGGACTCTGAATGCTGTTTCACACATGCACATATCAATGTGTGTTTGTGTGTGTGCCACCAGGGAACAGAGGAATTCTGGGTAGTGAAGCAAAGAGACAGTGAAGCAGTCACTTTTAATCTCTCGCCCCTGTTCATATACCTCAGCCCGCTGTGGTTCGGAGGTGGTTTTTCACAATTTGGACCCGTTGCTAAGCCCAGCGTCCCCCCGTCCATGTTGCTACACCTGTGAGGATTCCTGTTAGAACTGCATGTGCACGATTAAAGTTTAGTTCGTTTAGTGTCACCTCTATTTGTCCTGGTCACAAGATGTCGGTGGCAGTTGTGCATTGAAGTGCTTGTTGTTGTGAGGTTGAGCTGTGAGGTACAGAACAAAATATGCATCAGGAGACAAGAAGAAGAGGGAAGAGAAATGGAGATAATTTATAAATACAAAATGTATTAGATACGTATGTATGCTATGTACAGCTTGTTGTGTGTAGGTGGAGTGCAGACTCCTGTGAACAGTATGTGTGCAGCTACAACAGGTAGCAGCAGGAGTGTCCAGTCCTCTATAGACATCAGAGAGTTTAAAAAGCAGATGAAGAAACTGTAGAAAGCATTTGAAGGTTTAGCTAATGGAATAAATACGATCAATATATTGCACAGAAATCAGACTTTAATGCTGCGGTACCCTCTGCTATAAAGGTGGCAGGTTCACGATTGAAATTAATGATGGTTTCTGAAATCAAGCACCTCTTTTTCAGACATCATGAATTTAATGAGACTTCAGACTCACTTTTAGTCGACACCCGCTGATTTTTGTTTTGTTTTGTGAGTTTCATTTAATTGTTCACATAAAACTGACAAACGATAATGAACCAATGTGAACAGGAGGTGTCTAGAAGTCACAGGCCTCCGCCGTGCACCTCCACCCAGCGTATAGATAAAACATGATCCTCAGGAAGAAACAAAAACCATCAAAACACAGAAGTTTAGAAATTAATAGACAAGAATAAAACTGTCATTAAAAATTAAAAATCAGACAAAATAATATAAAACAATCTTTTTTCTTTATTTTGAAGATCTCTTTCATCTCTCTTGTTCTAATCTGAATTTTTAAGGTGATTGTCCCTACATATCAAAGGTCTCGCCTCTGTTTGTCTCTTTGTCTCTGCCCCCCCCAACATGGCGTCTGAGCCGCATATTAACAGGCCTATCAGCGCCGGTGTCGGCATCTGCTGCTCTGACATAAATTGGGAATTAACTGGAATTGATGTCCTGTGCCTCGCCTCTGACCTGCCCTGGCCTGATGGAGAGCACACGCACGCGCGTGCACACACACTCACACGCAAACACACACACAACAATAAATGACGACAAAGAAAATAGAAGTTGTAAATTAGCTTTCATCTTTTCTGTTGTGGATTTTGGCAGCAGCTTGTCATTTTCACCGTTGTTCAAGGTGAGCTTGTAGCTTCCGTACAAACACATGCACAGAATATTTATTTATACGTATATGTATACACACACACACACACACACACACACAATCTATGGTTTAGACAGATACAGATATAAAATAATAAATAAAAGAATATGACCAGTGTAGAAAAATCTATCGAATACATATTTATACCAGCACTGTATTTCTATAGATTCTTAGTTAAAGAACTAACAAATCAGATTCACATGACGATCCGTGAGTCTGGGCTGTAAACAACAGTTTCCTTCAATTGACAAAAGCTCAAAAATTATATCTGGAGTGACAGAGACACAGATACAGACACCAAACAAAGGTGCTTTGTTCTGTTTCACCTGCAGGTAAATTAACACTTTAAAATATCTTTTCATCTGTGTATTTGTCCTTTTCCCATCAGCGCTCTAAAACACAGGAGTCAGGACCCGGTCGCCACTTCAGCCTGTGGGGAAAGAGGAGGAGGAGGAGGAGGGAGGGAAACAGACTCTGGTTAATTGAGTCCCTTTAAAACAACACAGCATCTCTCTTTGTTTCATTTGCTCTCCTCCACTCTTTATCTCTCTGATTTGCCAATTTTCTTTCTCATTTTCACTCGCCCCCACTGGCTTCTTTCCATTTGTTCATTCCATTCCCACATTTTTCTTTTTCACCTTTTTCAGTTTCTCTCATTCCCCTTTTGTTCTTGCCTCTAATCTTTTTCACATTTTTCCCTGCTCACTTCATTCAGCTTCTCACTGTTTTCTCCACAGTTTTTTTTCCCCCTTTGTCTCTTTCCCATTCTCTTTGGTCACTTTTTACAGGGAGAGGCACGGAGCTGTTCGTAGTCCAGCATTAAGAATCTGTCTTTATTAGTCAAAGCTAAGCTGCAGATCTTTTGGTATTTGAGTGTTTGCAGAGGTGGATGCACTGCACATTCAGAAAACACAAGCGCATGAAGAAAACATCTTTAGCGCTGACAACACAGACACTGTGTCGCACAACACGAATAAGGAAATCGGCCAAATTGCAAAGCAAATATAGAACTCGTGTGCAGTTACACAAATGCTGCAAGACATTTGTGTAACTCAAGGGACACAGGAAACTATCCAAGTGTTGGAGGACAGAAATCTGAAACATTTGTCAACACATCAGCTGCTCAGCTCAGTAGGAGCTAAACACACCTGTGGTGATTTGTTGGTCGTGTTGCTTTGCGGTGGGAATGTCTCCTTGTCTTGGGAAAGTGTACAGTTAAATGAAGCCCCTGGTGATATCCTCTGTCTCCACTTCTCCACCTCTTTACTTCCCTGCCAAACTAACCACAGACTCATAATCACCGTCGCCTCCTCTGAACACAAAGCTAACTGCACATTTCACCGGTCAGGGGTCTTATTATCGCCCGTCCTCATCATCTAATGGGCTGGTTTTACCTACCAGGGTTTAGCTAAAGTAGTGTCTCCACTTGGAGGGGGGGGGTCGCTGCTATACCAACGGCTCAGTACCTTTTGTACGAACACATACATATGCAAATGAGCAACAGGGACCCATGCAGGGCTTGTTCAGAAGCAGCTCTGTGTTCAAAGTTTCTCTTGTTTGCTGCCTGTTATAGACGGAGCGAGACCTGCGAGATAGCAGCTGTCTGATCTCTTACACCGGTTTAAAGAATACAATATGGACCCTGAGTAAGACAAGACAGAGCGATTACAGACTGTGCTGTAGAAACTAAAGCGTGTGAAATGAAGCTGCAACAGTTTCATTATATCTCAGACAGACTTTCTACAAACAGGATCACAAAGATAATTAAAGCTCAGCTCTCAACAGCTAATTGTTAAAGAGGAGGATGTTTGACTGGGCAGGCACAGAACCTTGTGACTGACAGGAATTTAACATGAGGAAGCTAGAAATGTGTAAACACAGACAAACAATAAAAATGAACCAATTGAAGAAAAGACAGTAATACTGAACTTTAATAAATTAAATTTTTTTAACCTAGCATCGAGCATCCACAATCAAATACAGTGAGACCTGTGATGGACGGGACACCAGATTCACTGAATTCAAGTCACTTCTGATATGGACACGCTTGTCCAAACTGTCTCACAGCATTTGTTTCAACTGAGATTTTTTTCATAGTATCTAATCCAACAAGATGCAGATGTGGCTCAGGAAGCAGAGCGGCTGTCTCCAAACCGGAAGGTTAGCGATTTGGTTCCCGGACTCCCCAGTCCTCAAAGTGTCCTGGTGCCAAGCACTTTGACTAGTTATTATTATAAAAGATCTGATGTTAATAATCTCATGTCCAACTTTTCCCAAATGCTAGTATATATTTTCAGAAGTGCGGAATGAAGCAGGTTCTAGGATAATAAGTTATGTTTATATCTTTCACCTTTACAGTATTTTTAGTAAAAAACATCTTCTCTGTTGGGATGAAATGATATCATGATAGAAAATGTCTCAGTAATGTTGTGGGATTACAACGGTGTCTACATATGGTTATTTCTCCATCGATGATTTTGAGAGCTGTTGTGTGGCAGCGTTTCAGTTTTCCTGTTTCAAGAAATGACCCGTGTGAAAAGGAAGCTGACAAAGGCTGAACCGTTTGCAAATACTGCTGGACAAAGGCAGTACTAGCCCTGTTTAGCACTGAGGCAGCCCTAGATACAGTCTGCCAACGACGGAGATGGGCAAACAAACGGGCACACATATGCAAAACCAACCATTTAGTAACCACCCTTAAAGTTTTTTTTTCTTAAAAAACAGAAAACACCTCCAGTAAAGCACAAATCTCATCGTTATGTTGCTTGTCCCAGTGTAGTTTGGCGTCTTCTGGTCTAGTAACCTAGTGCGACCCCGACCACCAGGTGGCACAGCCACCAAACAGGGAAGGTTAAACCTGCCTAGAGGGAAGTAAAACACCGATGTGTCAGTGTCAGTGTGTGGCTCATAGAAGGGCTGATACTGACTGCTGCATTTTCTTTTATAGACATTATACAAAAAGCTGATCTCTTATTTAGTAAAAGGGGGAAGTTTGTCTTTTTTCTTCATTATTTCAAATTGTGACAAATATCATATTGTGCACTTTTTATTGTGGCGATATCATACCGTGAGTTTTTGTCTTTTCATACCACAGCTGCTAAATACACACACCTTGTGAGTCAGAGGTCAAAGAAAACCGCAGCACACAATTGCACTGTGCTATTTTTCTAAAGATGTTGGACTCCGTGCGTTAGAGCATCGTTTGCTGCCCAGCAGATGTTGCCTCGAGCAGAGAGCATCACAAGCTTGTTTGTTTTATATTGATGAGCACTTTTCAGGAAAAAAACAGTGTACAGACACACACACACTTGTCTAAATCCAAGTGGGGAATAGTCTCTCTCAGTGGCTGCTGTTTCTTACTGTGTGATCAACAGGGGTTGGAAAATTACTCTGCAGTGCTTATTATACACACACACACACACACACACACACACACACACTGGTGGAGTCGGGCTCTTGTTGTTCTCACTTGCTCCTATTTGAAACAGTGATTGCTCCTCACCAAACAGCCTTTCAGTTTGTATTGTGTCTAAATGATGTTTTGTTTTGGGTGTGAATATCAGCTCTGTGGGTGAAGCTGCTAGATGCTCTGAATTAGCAGCTGATCTGTTTGCACCTGGAAAAGCACCAGTGAAATTCCTGAAGCTCCGTTCGTCAACAACAGCACCCTCGTTCATACAGCAACAGACTGAAGGGGAATGAAGACAGCATCGGCGGCGTCAGGCTCATTCATAGCTACAGTCACAGCCTTAGAAGCCTTGCAGAAATAAATAATGATATAAAAGGCAGCTGAGAGTTGACAATATGGATTCAGTCTCCTCATTATGGGTAACTGTGATATAGTATGTCATTCAGGGAATTCATTTCACAATCAAAGTCGGTCAAACCTTGGAATGAGCAAGACAGCTGAACAGCAAAAGCAGCAGAATGTGTAGCTGTAACAACAGAATCAGCTTCAAACCAATTAGTTTGTTCTGTATAGTCTCTGTGGTCAACAGTGTCTTCTCATAGCAGGACGTACAGCTTGTTTGGATCTGTACGACTGTAAAACACACTGTTGAAATCATAGCTTCCGGTATGCAGTATATTTTAATTTACAGCAAAATATGTAGTAAAATAGTAGTGTTACCATGTGTGACAGTATGAAATACTCACTCTTCTAAAGTGCTGCTGTCAGTTGAAATCTGCCTTTGAATTTCAGTATTCTGTTCATGTGAGATGCATAAACCAGTTGTAAACAAGGTCGACCAACGAACTGTGATTAGATCTTTAACAGTGACATGAATAAGTCAGCTCAAAATCCGACGTGCACTCTGTCCTCCAGCAGTTTAGGAAAGAATACATGTGTTGGTCTTTGGTTCTTGTTACCATACTGACTCTGAGAGACGAGACAGTCCAAGTAACTACAAAACAGTGCTGATTTATTCCATGAACACAGGTAAAAATTAACATTACACGCTCAGGTATCTTGCACCTCCAAACTGCACGCAGGCAGATGAAAGATGAAAGACCCTGAACCCACCAGGCCTATACATTATATCCCCTCGGTTGGGCTAGCCCCATACTACACAGGAACGTCAACCGAGACGTCTCTGTTACCAGCTTTGCAGCTGGTCATAGCAATAGTCAAAACATGAAGCAAATCAATGTGTGTGTGTCTGTTGGTTAAGTGGTGTGTAGCTAAAAACATTCTCACACGACCTCTAGTAACATGTCGTGACTTAAACATAAGAACATATTATGGCTAAGGCTACAGTTATACACGTCATAATAATAATATTAAACACCCTGTCTGCTGACAGTCATCATCCCTTCTCTCTAGTTATCCTTGACCAGATGTCCCCTGTAGAAACTCATAAGCATGACTAAGCATTTAACAGTCTAACTAGACATCCTATCTCCACTAAACATTTCTAATACATAAAGTATCTATCCAATATCTAGCTGACTAAAAATACCTAACACATGACATCCTGTTAATTGATCTGTACGTTTCTGAGGGTCGGTGATTAATGGCTGTGTATGTATTGATTGATATGCTGCTTTGCATGATGGAACATTGACACAACAAGGAGTCACCACACTAACTCCCAGGCTTTGCCCTTCTCTCCCCTCCTCTTTCAGAAAATCCTCTCTGAGCACTCAGCACCCAGTTCTTCCCAGCAGAACCAGTCAGCCAACACGCCCTCTCTGCTGGGCAGCGGTGGAGGCGTCCCTGTGCAAAACCCTCGCTCGGCCCTGTCCCCGCTGACCAACTTGCTCCTGGAGCAGCTGGAGGCTCGTATTAAAGAGCTGAAGGCGTGGCTGCGAGACACCGAGCTCCTCATCTTCAACTCCTGCCTCCGACAGGACAAAGACGCCTCAGAGCAGCTGCAGAGCTTCAAGGTAGGAAAGCCTGTGATGCATCACCATTACAGTTTAGGACAAATGAGGCAAAGAAGACTGAGATTTGACTATTTTGTCAAAACACTCACTACCAATGTTGATTTTTATTTCTGCAGTATCTGTGTGATTCTGCAAGGTAGGTTTAAAGGTTGTGTACTCCATACGTACTGCAAATAGTACTGAAGTTTAGTCCACAGGCAAAGTAGGACTTAAAGTTACTAAACCTATACTCAACAAACCGAAGCTCATAGAAGTTGATGCAAGTTTTAAAACAAATATTATTCACACATAACAGACTATAGGTGATAACATTTCAAACCTAAGGTCTTTTACTTTGTTAATTGAGACAAAACACTTAGGAGGTTTGGGTCAGATTTTTCCTAATGTGTGCAGGATTTAAGATGAGCTAGGATAAATGTCCATCACACACAGAAAACAGAATGTCCTTGATCTTTACTTTACTCTTTGTGTACACCATACATACTGCAAATAGTACTGACAGTGTACTGAGCAACAGATTATAACAAGCGAGGAGATGGGGAGTTATAAGAAATAATTAAAGGCAGTGTGTGTAAAATCCTTCAGCTTCTGCCTTAAGGTGTCACTTAACTTTTCTTCACTAACTTTTGCTACTGTCATATATGTGACGGAACTTTGGCCAATCAACACTAAGCATTAAAAATCACATTTGCAGTGTGTGCGCGTTGTTGCTAAGTATAGTAATGCATCGTCTTAATGAGGCCAGATGAAAGCGGGGCTGTTTTGAAGCGATGGATGTACAGAGGAAACAGCAGTTAGCCTCAGAAGCCACGGGACGCTAACAGGATATTAATCAGCCTGCATCACACAGCGAACAGCTAGCTGCACTGATTAGCCTAGCCCCGCCGTGTGACTGACAACCAGACACACACTCACACACACTCAGTCATACATGCTGAAGGAGAAATGCATTCACACAGAGGTGCATCGGTTCAGTTATGTATGTTGATGTGGCCGCACACACTGACAAGTCAACACTCAGATATACAGACATATGCAAATGAGGCACACACGCAAACACACATACAGACGCATGAATAAATTAATGCATAAAAATATAAAGTAACACACAGATGAAGATGCACAAACATACGCTGATGAATTTAGTCGCACAAACATTCATGAAGACACACACAAAACTGATCCAGTATGATTTTAGAAAGAAACCCTTTAGTGTGTGAGCATTAATTTGATAAATATCTTTTATTAAATACTTTAAAAGCTTTAAAAGTCGTTAAAAATCTTAAGCTGTAGTGTAATGTTCATTTGCTGCTCTTTTACTTCAGTCCACATCAACTTAGACGTGAGGAGAGAGGGAACTGTGCAGAGTGAGGACGCTTAGCCCTGTCCTGTTGGTCTCACATGGCGTCACAGGGAGTATGTTAAAGCGATGGCGCTGTGAAGAAAAGAATAATAATAATTAAGAAAGCTGAAATGAAATGAAAAAGAATGAAGTCACTGTCAAATGATTATGACACAGTGGTGATTTTGCTGCATAAAATAAGTAAAAGGGAAATTTTAGCTGCATCCTATTCTGACTAAAGGATGAGAACAGAGTTTCACCGCTTGGTTCAGGAGTAAAGCTCCAGCCACCTCTGGACCTGTTGGACTGTTTGAGTTGTTGGTTCAGGCAGCGCTGCACTCAAAGAGTCAGAGGAACCATTTCAGGGAGTCGACTGAACAACGGCTAGCTTTGTGTCTGAGGTCATTTATGGATGATGACTTTAAAATAGGGATTTCCTAATGCTTCAACACTTTAATATATCTAGTACTGAAGCGTGGTGAGCATCTGGCAACACACACCAGGAGCACAGTTTATTTTGGTTAAAAAAAAAAAAAGTAATGCTTGTTTCTGGATCGGATACTTTAAGTAGTAGGTTGTTACAAAGGCCCTCGTGCATTTATTCATCTTCAATACCGCTCAGTCCCAAGCCAGAGCCAATCCCAGCCGGCAATCGGGCGAAGGTGGGGTACACCCTGGACAGGTCGCCAGTCCATTGCAGGGCCAACACACAGACGAACAACCACTCACATGCACACACTCACTCCTACGGGCAATTTAGAGACACCAATCAACCTAAGCTGCATGTCTTTGGACAGTGGGAGGAAGAAAACCCACGCAAGCACAGGGAGAACATGCAAACTCCGCACAGAGGGGCTCGAACCCGGAACCTTCTCGCTGTGAGGCAACAGCACTAACCACTGTTCCACCGTGCTGCCCAGCCCTTGTGCATAGATGGAAAAACTCTGCTAGCAACCCGCCAAACGTTCAAACTCACGTTTCTTAAAGGGGATGTCAGGTTACACACTGAGTGGATAATTGCATGTTACGTCCAAAACACACCCCTGCTTTAATGAGGAGATCACGTACAGCACTTTTACTACTTGCACGGACACTTGAACCATTTTCCCTCATCGGCAAATGACTGAAATGAACATGGACACACCCAGACTCTACTTGTGCCGATACATCTTGATCAGACGCCGTGGTCAAAACAGGGCCCGTAATCTGCTCCTGTACGGATCGTCTTCTGCACTAGTGCTTGCCTGGCTTTCCTGTCTTCTGCAGATTTTAACTTCTCATCCTCAGGAGGGTCCAAATGACACGTCTGAGAAGTAGAATTGTAAAACGTACATTTTTTTGTTGCCATGTTGTATTTAGCCATGTTGTGGTTGGATGCAATATTATGTTTGTTCTATAACTAATAGGTGAAGTGTTTGGTTGGAGGAGCTTGTTACTGTATGTGAAACCAAAGAAAGAGTTGTATGAATGTGACACTGTAGCTGGAAGTTCAGTCTCCACCTGCTTTACTTGCAGCTTTCTATATTAGCTTCCATTCATGTTGTTGGATTGTTCGTGTTTGAAGAGTCACAGAAATCCTTCCGTCTCGCTCAGTCAGTCAGTCTCTGTGCACAACGTGATGTGTCATCAGACATCGTGGCAGTGAGCGAGGCAAAAGAGTCATGTTGTAAACTGGTCAGTATTAATGTGAACACGACACACGGGCATCGGTTTACCCTCACACAAACCATGTGTACACACAAACAATGGAACTGTACAGAAACAAGACTTTATCTGAAGAAAGTGAATTGAGCTGCTCCTACTTTTGATCCCTGTCACTGCTCTCAGTGGGAAGCCATTGATTCCTGGCAGAACGAGGACCTGAGCTTCTGGAGAAATGAAGATTGGAAATATTGATATCAGTCATTTGTATGGAGAGAGAGAGAGAGAGAGAGCAGGGCCGAAGCTAAATGGGCTCCATTTTAGTGATCATTTGTCTGTTTTTGGCTTTTGGACCCGTAAATGAGTTCGATTTCTCCACTGCAACTTATTACTGTACGGCTGTAAGAGAAAGCAGCAGGGGTCGGCAGAGGTCATGCACACACACACACACACACATCTACAAACATATATTTATAAAAACACATGTATACACACACAAACATGTGTACACATGTTCAAAAAGACACACTACTGCATTAACACCCAGACTCATCCACATACACACATCAGTGCACCCAAACACACAACCCTCTCACTTTGCACTTGAGCTGTCGAGCCATGTAAATGGTTTGTTTTGTCCTGGTTTTGAACCGATTTATCCCCGAGACTTCTGCCTCCACCACAGTCCAGTGGAGGGGATGTAATTTAACAGTAGCTACGATGTAGAAAGCCAACTGTGTTTATTGGGACTTCTGTCTACAGAAGAAATGATCCCTATGAAAGCTGCTGCGCTTTGCTCTGTAGAGATCCAAACACATTTTACTGTGCAGACACCGTGTCAAGTCAAGTGACTGTACAGCATTGTGCCGAACCAGTCCAGCCAAGGGCAGATTAAAAGTAAGAAGAGCATTAAGAGCACAATGCAGTGGCTGAGATTCATGCTTGTGTTGTGTTCATGGTTCTTATACTAACCCAGGGAGGTAGAAGTGACGTGGACCTTCAGTGTGTCTTTGACTTGGAATAGAAATCAGACTGTATCTAGTCGGTGTCTGTCACACCACTTGATCTTCTCTCAGTGTCGTCCCCCCTGCCCCCCCCCCCCACCTGTCTCTCTGTAACCTGACTCTTAATTGAATTTGCACTCCTTTACGATAGGGCATCCGAGAGACGCTGCTCCAGCAAGCCCCGGGCCTCCGATGACTCTCCTTTGTAGTGGAGGCGCTCTGGGGGCCGGACACACTGAGAATTAATAGACAGGGTCTGGCACGCGCACACACACTTTCCTAGACTGTGGATATCTGTGTGAGCGATCAGCTCGTCCTTCTGAAGTGAAGCTCAACAAACTACCGTCCTCTGTATCATGTCTGTATGTTGCTTTTTCTTTCCCTCTGCATCTGTCGTCCTCGCTGCACCTCTTTTTTCTCTCCTCCTTCATATCTGTTCAGCCACTCTCCCCTGCTGTCGACAGTAGATGAACCTGTCCTCCCCTACTGTTTGTTACCCACCGCCCCCTCCCCCCACAGACCCGTCCAATCATGCTCTTTGCCCTCCAGCCCTGCTCGTCATTTGTAACTCATGTCCTCCTCTCTCAGTCATTCCTATTTTCAGCTCTCCTTGCTCCTGCCATTTGTAAGATTTGACCCCCTCCCAGTTTGTATCATGAGCCTGGCTTTCCTCTGCTGTCCGTACTTCATGTCCCCACCCACCTCGTGTTGTTCAGAGACCCTTGCAGCTAAAACATGACCTAATGATGTTTCCCATCCATCCTCGGTGACTAATGACCTGTGAACGTGCCACAGAAACTCATAGAATTACATATTATTATTATTAAGGAACTCAACATTCTGGACGTTCAATGTACTGGTTAAAACTGGGAAATTTAAAGGGTCTAAGTTGAGGTCGACCCCCCCACTTCCCCCAGTGTTTTCCTGGTATTCATACTGTACAGACCTTCCCCTCCTTGGTGTAGAGTTTTTTTGCTCTGCACTGTAAAAAATAAACAGCAGTTTTCTGTTTA